ATATAGATATAGCTCAATATGTGGCTTTCAAGAAAATAGGCAAAAGCTCAAAAGGGTTAACTAGGGAATATAACTATCAATCGGTAAGCTAAAAGGTCAAAAAAGCTCAAAAAAAAAATATGTCTTAGATCATTTTCACAAAAATGCACACACCATGTGGTCTCGACATAGATACCAATGCAAGTTCTAGAATTCCATCAACAATGAACGATACACTCAATCAACAAAAATACGGCTCAAAAGCTCACAAAGGATCATATATTCATGGATCAAAAACATCAACAAATCATTCAAATTCACAACTCAATTCATCATCAAATTCCATCACCTAGCACATTATGCCCGAATTCCATATCGAATATGCACAAGAGACTCATTGAGGTGAATCCAAGTAGATCAACTACAACTACTCAAATCCTAAGAAAGCAATAAACGTGCTAAAGCAATAAACCTAACATGCAACTACATGAAATGCAAGATAACGCAAGATATCTTGTTATCTTCTCTCTAAACTTCTCAAATCAAAATATCACATCTCCCCCCAAACTTGAATGAAATTATATGAAGCACATAAGGGAAGAATAGAATTTCAATAAAAGTAAAATAGAGACGACTCACAAAACTCCATTGAAGAGGTGACAGTTGTTGGTATAGATCTCAAAAAATATTTTTCGTCATGTAAATCTCTCCAAGTAATGTTCTGCAAGGAAGAAAAACAAAATATCAAACAAACAAAAAATAAAACTAACTAAAAACATTAAAAAAAATAAAGCGGTAAACATTGGGTTGCCTCCCAACAAGCGCTAAGTTTAACGTCTTCAGCCAGACGAGATGTCTATTAGGAAACTCTAAATAAGGACTTTGATGATCTTCTCATTCTTTTAAGTTTGACATTCTCCCAGTAAGGACTCAATCCATAAGAGAGCATCATTGTCCCGTCATAATCACCAAGGTTACCATCACAATATCTCTCAAATTTCAGGATGAAGATTTCAACCTCTTCATCATATGGAATGACAAATTCAATTTTTAAACATTCAGAATTAAAGAATTCTTCTTGAACCACCCCTTCAGTGAGAATAACTTTTGGGGATATTTCAAAGATGACATCTTTCTCTTCTTCATGTTCTTCGGCAACGATAGAAATTTCTGGTGCACTATCTAACGTCAAAAAGCATGGAGGAATGTAATCGAGCTCTTCTTGCGATATAGGAGGTAAACTAGAGAAAGGACAATTCCCTGGTATGTGGCAACATCAAACCACATTCATCACACCAAATGCATCTTTCCTCGAGTTCTCTCCTACGACGCTTCGACTCCAACTCAACCTTTTTAAGTTCTTCCAACTGATAGAACAAACACTCCTCAAACCACTTTTTATCTTCTTCCGAGTATTTGGGATCATTACGCCAGCCATAGTTTACCGCATCCTCGTCCATCATACAAAAATAAAAAGAAAAAATAATATTAGCAAGATATACAAAAAATGTCTAAATTAAAACCAACACTATCTATCATAATATTGATATAAATAATTATATTGGTCCCCGGCAACGGCGCCAAAAACTTGTTCGCCTATATTTTTAAAGCTCGACCGCAAGTGTACGGCTTCGCTCGTAGTATGTGGCAAGCAAGGTCGTATCCCAAGAGACCAAACAACCAATTAATCAAGTACTAGATTATGATAGTGTCAATTTTATTTAGACGACCGAATATAGGATGGATTAACTACACTAAGAAAATAAATCAAAGCAGATAAAACAAAAATAAGGAACTAGCTAGAAAAACACGTAGGAAAATATATGGGAATGACAGATTC